AACTTCAGCTCCACAGGACCTGACCCTCTTTCAGCCTCCTCAGGTACTACATGCACATTGTGCATAGACACACAAATAGGCAAAACACCCAAACCATTATGTCTCTTTCTCTCTCTCTCTTTCTCCCTCTCTCTCTCTCTCTCACACACACACACATACGGAAACAATATAAATGCATATTACTAAGTGAAAAAAACAATCTAAATAGTTATATATTATATAATCAAACTCTGGCTCTTGGAAAAAGTAAAGTGCAAAGACATTAAAAAAGTAAGTGATCTATCTTTCTGTTTCTGGAATACCTCACTCAGAATGATCTTTTCTAGTTCCCACTAACTGCCTGCAAATTTCATGGTTTCCTTGTTTTTTAAATGCTGAGTGATATTCCATTGTGTAAATGTACCACAATTTTTGCATCCATTCCTCAACTAAGGGGCATCTGGGTTGTTTCCAGTTTCTGGCTATTACAAATAAAGCTGCTATGAACATGTTTGAGCAAATGTCCTTGTTGTATACTTGAGCATATTTTGTATAGATGCCTAGGAACGATATAGCTGGATCTTGAGGAAGTGCTATACCTAATTATCTGAGAAAATGCCAGATTGATTTCCCAAGTGGTTGTGCAAGTTTACATTCCCACCAGCAATGGATAAGGGTTCCCCTTTCTCCACATCCTTTCCAGCATGTGTTGTCATTTAAGTTTTTGATCTTAGCCATTCTGATGGGTGTAAGGTGAAATCTCAGGGTCATTTTGATTTTCATTTCCTTGATGACTAAGGACATTGAACATTTCTTTGTTTCCTGCATTCGATATTCCTCTATTGAGAATTCTCTGTTTAGCTCTGTACCCCATTTTTTAATTTTAATTTTATTTTTATTAGTTTATGCATTTTGTATTCCAGCTGTAGCCCCTTCCCCATCTCCTCCCAATCCCAACCTCCCTCCCTCTTCTTCTCCTATGCCCCTCCCCCAGTCCAATGATAGTGAGGTATCCCAGAAGCAGAAAGACACACAGGGTATATACTCATTCATAAGTGGATATTAGACAAATAATATACAATAAACATACTAAAATCTGTACACCTAAAGAAGCCAAGCAAGAAGGAGGACTCTGGGTAAGATGTTCAATCCTCACTTAGAAAGGCAAAGAGGATGGACATCAGAAGAGGGAGAAAACAGGGAACAGGACAGGAGCCTACCACAGAGGGCCTCTAAAAGACTCTACCCAGAAGTGTATCAAAGCAGATGCTGAGACTCTTAACCAGACTTTGGGGAGAGTGCAGTGAATCTTATGAAAGAAGGGGGAGATAGAAAGAACTGGAGGGGACAGGAGCTCCACAAGGAGAGCAACAGAACCAAAAAAATCTGGACACAGGGGTCTTTTTCTGAGACTGATACTCCAACCAAAGACCATTCATGGATATAACTTAGAACCCCCACACAAATGTAGCCCATGGCAGCTCAGTGTCCAAGTGGGTTCCCTAGTAATGGGAACAGGGGTTGTCTCTGACATGAACTGATTGGCCTGCTCTTTGATCACCTTCCCCCTGGAGGGGGTTGGGGGGAGAGCAGCCTTACCATGCCACAGAGGAAGACAATGCAGCCACTCTTGATGAGACCTGATAGGCTAAGGTCAGATAGAAGGGGAGGAAGACCTCCTCTATCAGTGGACTGAGAGAAGGGCCTGGGTAGAGAAGGAGGGAGGGAGGGTTGGATTGGGAAGAAAAGAGGGAGGGAGCTACAGGTTAGATACAAAGTGAATAAACTGTAATTAATAAAAATTTTTAAAAAATGTAAAAACACTAAGTGATCTCTACAGATGAAATGGGAAGGAGAAAATGGTGAAAACACTAATGCAAGACACTGGCAGAGTGTGGGAGAGGGAAAAAGAGACTATGTTAGTAAGCTTTTCTGTAAGCTTAAAACTGATCTAAAAATAAAGCCCATGTGCCAGGGAGATGGTTCTGAAAGCAAAGGTGCTTGCTTCTAAGCCTGACAACTGGAGTTGGAACCCCCAAAGCCACAGAGTGGAAGGAGAGAACTGTCTTCTCTCCCAAACCATCTTTTGATATCCATAAGTGCACTGTGGCACAATTGTGCCCACATATATGCACATAATAAATAAACAAGTCAATATTAATTCAAAGCCAATCAATGTATTTCAGTTTGTGAGAGAAAACAATCTTAAGATCCACTCACGAAAAGAATCTAACAGGGAACAAGCAAGGAACTATTAAGCTTACAAAGGGAATTTTAGAAGCTGAATTAGGGAGATGGTTCCATGGGTAAAGTGCTTGCTATACAAGTGTGAGGACCTGAGTTCAAATCCCCAGCACCTGTGTAAAAAGCCAGCTCAGTAGCATGTGCCTGTAATCCTAGTGCTGAGTAAGAGGAGACAAGAAGATCCCCAGGGCAACCTGGCTAACCAATCTGGCTGAATCCATGAGCTCAGAGTTCATATAGAAACCCTGCCTCAAAAAATAAGGTAGGTGGTGCCTGAAAAAACAGTTCACACTCATCTGTGACTTCTATATACAGATACAGGTGTATATACACACACACACACACACACACACACACACACACACACACACACAAGCATGCAGTCAATAAAAATCCTAACACTGGGGAGGCAAAAGGCAAAGGCAGGTAGACAGCTCTGAGTTCAAGGCCAATCAGGTTTACACAGTGAGTTCCAGGTTCTATACAGTTCCAAAGCTCTATATAGTAAGGCTGTTTCAATGAAGAAAACAAAACAAAACAAAAACAACAAAAAAGTATCCTTCATAATATTAAACACAATAAACCTCCAAACAAATACAACAAAATATATGCATATCCCCTATGCTGAAAATAAGTGAAAAAAGAAATCAAAGAACCAAGCAAAAGAAACCCAAAATTAACTCAGGTTGATTGTGACATTAAATCTCACTCTCTTAAAGCACCATTATCCAACTTATTTCTCTTGAGCTCCAAAAATGTCTTGTGATGCCAGATGAGTATTTTATTCACATTTTATGGGGCAAGTTAGAGCTACTGAGCTCATTTGAAAACCAGATGATAGCAAAAGGCTAAGAATCAGTCATCCCTCTGGGGAAATAAAAATTAATGTTCACGCAAAAATATACATGAATGTTTGTGGCAACTCTATTCATAAGCACCAAAATCTGGAAGCAGCCCAACCGTCCTTTAGTGGGTAAATGTACAAACTATGGTGTATTCTTGACATGGAATAGTCAGCAATAATAACTGCTGATATCTCAATGGATCTTGAAGGTCTGAGTATGCTGAATGGAAGGTAACATTTTCAAAAGGTTACATATGCTATCACTCTCCAAAAATTATACACGGTATAATATTCTCAACAAGAGAAAACTCTGACATAAAGATCAGTTACCAAGGTTACCAAGTGAGAGAATAACTACTAAGGGCTAGCATGTGAGGGATGCTGAAGCTGGTAACTATGTTCTGTATCCTGACTGTGATGAAGTTAGATGAATCTCCAGCACGTCAAAAAGTGAAGTGTGTAACCAGTTTATAGCACTTGAATTTGAAAAGAAAATTTCTGCTGCGTCTGCTCTGTGCATTGCACACGCCTGTGTGTGCCAGTGTACATGCCTGTACACACATGTGTAGAGGCCAGAGCTGGATGGCAGGATCTTCCTCTATTCCCGCTGTCTCTGGGTTGGAAACTTGCCTACTGGCTAGGCTGACTGACCATCTGCCACCCACCCTTCAGAGCTGCCTGTCTGCCCACAAAGCTAGCGTGCCGGGTACATATAGCCATGCCTGGCTTTTTATGTGGGTGCTGGACATTGGGGCTCATCGCCTCCTGTTTGCTGATCAAGTGCTGAAATCCAATGGGCCATTTACTCAGTCCTTGAAAACAACAAACAAAACCAAACCTCAACTTAGTAGTAGTAAAATGAACCGTAAAGAAAAACTATTCACCTCTATGTACTAACTAGTTGACTAAATTGAGGAGAGTGGACATACCAAGTGTTGACAAGTATGTGAGACAACTGAACCCTTTAGCATTTCTGGTGGGGGAATAAAATGGTACCATCACTGTGTTTCTTTTCTTTCTTTCATTTTTGGGTGTTTGGGTTTTTTTTTTTGTTTGTTTGTTTTTGTTTTTGTTTTTTTTTGTTGTTGTTGTTGCTGTCATTGTGGTTTCCTTCGAGAATGTTTCTCTGTGTAGCTGTCCTGGAACTTGCTCTGTAGATTAGGCTGACCTGGAACTCAGAGATCCGCTTGCCTTAACCTGCTGAGTCTAGAGACAAGGAGAGACTGACTTGTCCCTTAGCTTAGGCTCTAACCCAACTTCTTTCTCTTTCCATGTCTGGGAGGGAGGGGTAGGAGGAAGGGAAGGAAGGAGGGAGGGAGGGAGGGAAGGAAGGAAATGAACATCTTCTCCCCTGGCCTCCCCCCTCCCCCCACAGAGTTTCTCTGGGTGGTCCTGGCTGTCCTTGAACTCGCTCTGTATACCGGCTGAACTCAAACTCAAGAGATCCACCTGCCTCTACTTCCCCAAATCCTGGGATTAAAGGCGTGAGCCAACACCTCCTGGCTAAAACGAAACGTCGCTTAACTCCCCCTAACAACCCGTTCCACTTCTTGAAACTAGCTGTAGACAAGCGTTTCTGAAATTGACCGGGAAAGGAAACGGGAACTGTTCATTAGAAAGGATCTGTGTGTCCAGATACTTCAGGTTACCAGGAAGGCGACAGATCGGGCGAGCGCCGCAGCCACTGCGCCACTTGGGAAAGATAAACTCTTAGGACAGCGGGGAGCTGAAGACTGAGGCTGGAAACTGGCACGAAGCCTTTCCCGAGACTCCTCGCTCAGCCCCTCTGACAGACCTCGGAGGACGTGGTCCAGACTCCGTCGTCCAAGGCAAACTACCGAGCCCTCGGACCCGGGACAGGGACCAGGACACCCGAGGCCCGGCCCCAGAGAGTACGGCGGCTGCTACCCGCCCGGGACGCGCGCGTTCTCACCTCTCCAGTTCTTGTACTGGGCGATGTAGTAGTATTTGTTCCCCAGATGGTCCGTGCCCACGAGCTCCCTCACCTCCCTCGACACGGCGCCCGACACAAGGCGCAGCACACCCCGCAGCCAGCCCATGCCGGAGCGCGGCTCGAGCAGGGACTTGCGACTCTGCAACAGCCACGAGACCCCGCCCACGCGAAGCCCCGCCCACGGCTCGGGGTCCCGTTCTCGCGCCTCCCAGTAACGCCGCTCCCCTTTGGTCACGTCGTATCGCCGATTGGCCAATGGGAGCCCTTGTTGTTCCGCGCTCCGAGTCCTGTCATGGCGGCACCCAGGCCTCAGGCCGGTGAGTGCAGCCGAGATGTTGAGTTTTCTGTCCGCTCGACAGTCGGGCTTGGAGGACCCTCTTCGCCTGCGTAGGGCGCAGTCCACACGGAGGTAAGGCACGCCTTGTCGTTTCCTCTTCCGGTGACAAGTGGGACTCTGAAGCGGGGACTTAGGGTGGCAGGACCAGTGGGCCGAAGAGGAAGTCTCAGGAGGCAGAAGAGAAGACCCGCGTGTGCTTGGAGGGGAAAGTGTGAAGACCGAACGCAGGTCACCGTTACTGTAGCTTGCTGCCTGCTTGAAGAATGAAGTTGAAAGCGAGAGGGGGTCGGCTGGATAACTGTCGCTCCAGGAGAGACCTGGTGGACATGCAGGGCAGTGAGGTAACAAGTGGAATGAAGAGATATGGAGCATATCGGGTGGGTGGAATTTGATTCTCGCGTGTATGGCTTGTGAGTTGAATGCTGATGGCAGAGTCGGCATTTTCCCAACGGAGAGCTCTACTTGCAATTTTGCACTATTTTGAAATATCCCGTAGGATACCAGAACATGACAACTGGCTTTCACCAAAGCAAACAAAACAAAACAAGCTTCAGCGGAAGGGGATCTCTTCTTGTAACATAATCTCTCAGAAGTGTTCTCTTTTTTTTTTTTTTTTTTTTTTTTTTTTTTTTTTTTTTTTTTGTCCTATTCTAGTCAGTCAGAACTGAGTCACTAGTTCTGGCTTGCTCACAACCAGCGAGTTACCTAAGGCCACCAATCCTAGGAATTAGAGACCATTGGAAGTCGTTTCCAGCTGACTATCTGCTTTCTTCTCTCCATAGAGTTTACCTACCCAGTCTGCTGGGCCATGACCTTTGGCTCCACACATACGCTGGCCTCCAATTGACTCCTCAGGGGCTACTGACCCTGAGAGTATCTCTATGGTGACTTTCTGGGAGCTCAGAATGACAAGGAACAGCTCTTATGCCAGCCTCTGCTTTCTGCCCAGGGCTGGGCCAGCGATTTGCCTGGTGTGGCTTCTTTTTCTGGAAGGTCCTCCCCACCCCCACCCCCCCACACACACAATGTATTTTGACTCCTCCCAGTAATGCTCCTCTCTCTCTCTCTCTCTCTTTCACTGCTCAGGGCACATGGAGCTGCAGTGAGATGCTCCCCTTCCACTTAACATATATTCTTGCTCCCAAATGACCTCCCTTTGGTGCTGAGGGATGGAAACAAGTTGATCTTAGCCTACGACTCTTTAAAAGAGTCTGGGAAGGGAGGTGAGGCTGGCCTGAGCTGGTTGCCTCAGCTTCTCAGGCCAGGTAGGTTCAAGCAAGTTAGGAAGGAGATGAGGATACAGGAAACAGTTTTGTGTCCTCTCACCAAGGCTTGGTCCTGTGTTAGGTGCAGTCATGAGCTCTGGCCTGGCAACCCATCTATGCTGGAAAACACACAAGGACACCTAACAGGGACTTGAGCAAGCTCAGCCACCTGGAATACATCTACTTTGGGGTCCAGAATCATCACCTTGTCATGGGTTCATGGTCCCACAGCAATTACCAAGGAATGTGGCCTCTGAGGACAGAGCAGTGACTTTGAACTCCAACCCTGTGCCTCTGTGCACTGCCTGGCTTCACAGGCCTCCAGCAAATATGCCAGTAAGCCACAGGGACCCAGGCCATCACCAAAGAGCCCTGTCCACAGGTCAGCCCTATTGTTCCAGGGACATGCACCTTCCTCACCCATCAGGTGTTCAGGGCAGGTGCTGTCACTCTCAGCACTCAGGTAGAGGGACATTCCATTTGGAGCCAACACCATGACATCCCCAGGTGGTAAGGCAGTTCCAAGAGCAGACTGCTATATGATATCCCCACCCTGTACTGAGCTTCTCAGGCCCTCAGAGGCCCCTGCTTCCACTTCCGTTCTGACCTATGACAGTACTGAGGATTGAACCTAGAGCCTTGTATATACAAGCACTCTTCACAGAGCTGCAGCCCCAGTGTCCTTAAAGATGAAGAACACTGGCGTAAAAATGAGACAAAGCTGTTCAGATTGGTTTATGCAGAATAGCTGCTTTTTTTTTTTTTCAAAACTAGAGGAACTTTACAGCAGGAAAAAAAATTTCTGACTCTGCTAATGCTAATTTTACTTATTTATGATCTAATTTTAGTGTCTCAACTATGAATATAAAAGAATTGATGTTATAAAAACTAAGCAGACCACTTAGGAAATACACAAGCCAAAGAAATGATTTTAAACAAAATACTATTCATTAAGGCCTGACTGAGGTGATAATTATAAGAGATTAAGGGATAAAAAACATTCGTGCCAATGTTCTCTGAGATGCTCTGGTTCAAATTATGAGACAATGGAACTTTTTATGCTTCCAGATTATTCTCATGTGCAGTCAGGATTAAATACTAATGCCCGAGAAAGAATGGAATGAAGAGGTGTGTATGTGTGTATGTGTCCAATCTATCTTAATTTCACCCAATTTAAGATAGAGTAATGATTGGTGTGTCGAGCCCACTGTAAAGTAAGGTTGCTATCTGTGGGCTGACGACCTTTCTTACATAAGAAGGCAAACTGAGAAGGAGCTTTGCTGGGGTACCTGTCTCTGCTCTTGCTTGAGTTCTTGACCAGACTTCCCTCGGATGTTAGACTATGACTGGGACAGTTAGCCTGGTCAACTTTTCCCTCCCCAAGTTCCTCTTGGTCATGGTGTCATCACAGCAACAAAAAGCAAACTGTTAATCTTAGTAATCAATGAGGAGATTGGCAGTTTGTAGCGAATGTGTATAGGAAAGTGGACAGTAGTAGGGTTAATGCTTGTTTACTGCAATGCATTGTCACCAGCCGAGAAGTTGGTGTCTCTGTGGAGAAGAGATTTATTAAGCACTCTTTGAGCTGTGCTTGCCTCCTCCTGGCTGGGTCACTTCTTGGTGTGAAGCAGGATCTCCTCTCCTCTACACTGGGCTGATGGTCACCCTCCCTTCTGAGGCTAGATCAGGAGCAGCCTTTTATCCTTTGCCTTTTCAGTGTTGGGAGAGCTGTGAGGGATCCCAAAGGAAGTGTCAGGGTTGTTTGTGTGTGTTGGGGGAGGGGTGTACCTCTAGGACACTTGAGACTACTTTTTTGTTTATGTCCACAAGTTTACCTTCATTGATTTTCCTAGTCTATGCCAGTTTCTCAGAGGGCAGCACTAAGAGCCTTCTCATGGCCAGCTGTTCCCATTGTGTCCCACTAGACTTTCATGTCCAATATTTCTGCTTCTTATTTCTTTGGCAGACTTTTATTTTGTTGAATAATTCCTTTATTAATTTTTGTAAAATTTCATGTGGGGTTTTGTTTTGTTTTCCAAGACAGGGTTTCACTATGTAGCCAAAACATTTTGGGTGGCTGCTTTGAAATAGTCATCACATAACTCCAAAGCCCATGTTATCTCAGCTTTGGATGCTCTTGGTCTTCTTCTATGGAAGTTGAAATTTCTGTGATTCTTCATATACAGAATATGTCTGGATTGTATCCTCAATATTTTGAACAGTGTTACTAGGCTCAGGGTCCTTCTTTACTCTATGAAGAATACTGATGTTTTTGTTTCATTTGTAACTTTAGATTAGATTTAGACTACAGTTCCCACCTCTGTCTGTGGACTATGGTTTCTAAACCTTTTAGGTCTGCCCAGGTGCATGCCACTCATAGGTCAGGCAGTGACAAGTGGCAGTTGGCTGACTCTTGAAAGTCTTTTGCTGGATGTTCAGGATTAGGTCCAGGAATGAGGATGAGTCATGGAGCTTGAAAATTATTTATGATGTGTCCTTCCTGATCTATGTCTTTGCTGTGATTTCCCAACTTGTTAAAATTCCCATCTTGGTCCTTCAGCCAGAAAATTTGGCCTCTGGTTACTGTTGTACACATTTGCATATTTGGGCCTAGCAATTCCATGTTTAGGCCTAAGGCAGAGCTCAGAAGAATAAAGACAAGCTTTAAAAAAAAGATCATGGCACTAATGAGAAGAGAAAAATAATTCACTTCGTTTAAACTGCAGTGTTGAAAATAGTTTGCATTTCTACACTTAAGAATCTTTTAAATTGTGTGATTCAAACTTTTATCCACTGGGTGTCCTCAGTCAGGTTTATCAGAACTTGGACTTTTCCTGAAAGTTCATCCGTAGATAATTTTAAGGACATTTAATTTAAGAGGGGGGTCTCATATATCCTGCACATCAGATGTTTTTATTATAATTCATAACAGAAACAAAATTATAGTTATGAAGTAGCAATGAACATAATTTTATGGTCAGAGGTCACTACACCATGAGGAATGTATTAAATGTTGACAGCATTAGGAAGGTTGAGAGGCACTGTCATCTAAAGTAATGTTTCAAGTGAGATATTTGCATGTGGCTGTTGATAGCTTGTGTTGTAGAGGCTTCCACTGAAAATATGAACACCTTTAAATGTGGAAAGAAAGTAAAGACGTGAGTATTTGTGGTAATCTAGGTAATCTTGGGGAAATAAGCAATTTGTGTTAAATTTTTTCTAGTGTTAAGTTTTATCTTTTTCTCTCTTTAATTTTTGAAGGGTCCTAGGACTGGAGCTAAACAAAGATAGAGATGTTGAAAGAATCCACGGCAGTGGAGTTAACACTCTTGACATTGAGCCTGTTGAAGGAAGATAGTAAGTTATATCTTCACTTTTCTTTCTAAGTGAGATGCAGTCAAATCTTGCCTTTTCAGATTTATTAGTAAAGATCTCTTTAAAATATTTTTAAATTGTAAATTGTAGCCTTTGTTGAATAGCATTTAGTCATTTGAAATAAAAACTCCAAACTACTGTGGCATAAATATATTCACGTTAAACCTATAAACCAGGAATTTATGTTGATGCAGAAGGCTTTTAAGTGCTAGGATGTGTCTTGAGTACTCTTTTAAAATACAGTTGTTACTTTCAAGAAGTCTAATGGGAAGTGACATATAAAAAGCATAAATGTGTTTGGCAAACTCAGTTGGAAGCAAACAACCTTACTGAGTTTCTAACGTACCAGCCCTGTGAGCCTGTGCAATTTACTTAACCTTTCAAGTTTTCAATTGTCTTAGCTATTCAATGGAAATGATCATGTTTAACCTATTTGTCATAAGAATTTGAGAAAATCTGTACTGAAAGTATGTTTAATTGTTTCACCCCATTGCCCACACTGTAGCTGGATGTGTTCCTGTACTGATAACCTGTTGTCACACCACACCACTGACTGTGGAGGGTTTCGGGGTGGAGGATGCAGCTCAGTGGCAGAATGTATGACTTGCGTGCACAAAGTCTGGGTTTAATCTAGGGCAGAATGAGGAGAAAAGAAAGGTGGTAAGGCATGTGGGCCCAGGGCCTATCATGTTAGCCGAGGATGTAGTTCAGAAACAGACTCTCAGCTAGCGTGTACAAGGCCCTGGATTCAAGCCCCAGCATGACAAGGAAATAAAACAAAATCAGTCCTTATGCTGTCTATAATTCGATCATGTATATAAAAAACCCTAAGGAAAGTAGTTTCTCATGTTACAGTCTATTTAGTAGTTGTCCTAGAGTTTTTGTTTCCTAGTAAACTGTTGTCGTTTATATTAAAATTAGCCAGGTGGGTTTGGTAGACTTGTACTTTCTACTTTCACCTTCTGCCATAACAATAGCATTTAAAAAATGTGTGGTAAACAGTTCTCTACTTAGCACATGGCTAAATTTAAAAGATGTTGCACAATAATTCTTTTCTTTCCCCTAGCTTTTCAAGGCTTAACATACTATTTCCTGTTCAAAGACAGTTGAGGGGCACTTATTGATAAAATATATGCAGATCCAAGGAACAAAGGTTAGCTGATTGCTTTTGGTCATTGGAGCCAATAGGGAAGATACACTAATGTTCCAGCCAGCCATTTGGCATAGTGATTATATAACCTGTGAGTAACCAGTTAACAGAGTCAGTAAGAGCTGGTGGATTACAGCTTATATGTGAAATGTGTTTGAAGAATGTAGGCTGAAGATGTCATGGTGCATCAAAGTCTGAGCCACATAGCATAGTAGCTTTTCCTTTAAGACATGGTAAAAGCTATAACTGTTTATTTCTTTGTTTGCTAAGATATACCACATTTAATCCTGTTTAGTAGCAAAAAGAAATAAAGCTGAAGATATATGTCGAAATGAAAAATGACTATTTTCTTTAAGAAAAATCAGTATATGTGTAAATTCTTCAGAATTATACTAATTTAATCACCCACTATGAATACTATAGCTAAAGCACTAAAAACCACAGGCAAAATCAGAACACATAGGTCTGCTAGATCAGACTTAGTTCCAAGATTAGGTGTTATTTTAAGAAGACTATCTATAAACTATTTTTAACAAGTTCAATTACAGAGAATACATTTGCATACCCTTATGAAGATTAAAATTTGTATATCTTCTAAATTCTTTTAACTTATTCCTCTTTTGTAAGTTTTCTTTTCTATATGAAAACAATACCCTACCTCTTTAATATGGTCATGATTAGCAGAATACTAACCTCATCGTTGTCAAAACCAAGAGAAATTAGAAATAAATGAAGAATATTCCAGAAATGAACCAAGGAATAAGGGATACAGGCAAAAGTATACAGGGTGTAATTCCTTAGAAATAGAAGGCAAAAAGCAGCGAGAACATAAAGATCAGAAAGAGAGGAACAGTCAAGAGTGAGCTGTAGCTCAGTGATGTAGTGCTTGCCTCTTGTGTGTGAGGGCACAGGTTCAATCCCAGCACTAACCCTCCAAAAGGAAAAGAACAGGATATGAAGGTACTCAGACAGACAGAATAAAGGCTAAGAAGACCCAGACTGCACATGACAGGAGTCCACAGATAATGCCCATGTGAGTAAGCAGAATAAATATGAAATTATAATTCAATAAATTTTTTTTACTTAGAGTAAGATCTACAACTGTGGTGTGTAAGGGAATAGATCACACTGTCACTGAAATTTGACTTTGGGATTTTTGCCGAAAGGAATAATTTTTTTTTTAATCTAAAATACTCTGAGAATTAAGCCTTTTATATTTACTCAAACAGATTTTCAAGGCCAAAAAGGCGGACATTTGTCAGTGGTTTACAGGAATTCTTGGAGTACTGTACTCATTAGCCCTTCTCTTGTATTCTACTGAAGTGAAATCAGATAGCCAGAATAATCAGAGGGACAAAAATATAAGGGTTGATGATGACCACTAATTCTAGAAAATAGCAATACTTTATGTAAATGTATAACTTTATGGATCTAGGTATTGGTTTGGCTGCTGATATCACACTAAAGAAACCAATTATAAGTAATTTTCTTAAATACAGTCTAAAAGTCTTAAGCTCGAAATTGCAGAGCAAATGACCTTGGTTTTGCCAACATAAATCACAGGAAACAACACATTAAGGGAGCAAAGAAGCACAAAGGTGAATTTAAGGTCGGTATCATGAATAAAACAAAGCTCCTTTATTCATGATACAGTTTTGGGTGATGAATTATGCAGTGTTCAGAAATGAAAGTCAGTGACTACTATAAAAAATTGCATTAGTGAATAACTGAAGGGAAAGAAAGGGAGTCATGGTTGGGAAAAGTCCCTATTGTTTGGTTTTCCTGAAGACTACTTTGATGTACATACCTGTTTTTAATTGGGCAACTATATTTTGTGTAATAGTGGAATAAAATTCAGAGTGTCTAAGATTTTTGCAATTAAGTTTGATCCAAAAGAGATCATTGTTCAAAGAGATTTTTATCTTATAAAAAATATGAAAGAATGGTACTCTCGATGAGGGTACAAAAATAGAAAGAGAGAAAATATTGAATGTGAAATAGTATGTATGCCAATACATGGAAAAATTAAAGTCCTTCCTTTTTAAGACTTGTTCTGAATTTACTTCACACTTGACCACCTGTTATTTTGTCCAAACTGAAAATATGGCCATCCGTGAAGTCAGTTAAATGTCACAGCTTCAAATTCAAAGATTATTTCAAGTAATGTTATGAAATCAACAAAATCATAATTGGAAGGTAAACAGCCCAAGTGAAGCTAATATAGCCCTACACAGATGCAGGAGTCATAGGTAAAGTATGTGAAGTGCTAAGAATATTTTACAAGTTAATTTTGTAAATTAGTTGAATTCATATGAAGAACTTTTGTTGTCAAGTACATGATTACATGTTACTTTTACTATTTAAAAATCATTTTACAAAGCTCTTGAATCAAATAATGTACAGGCTCTATCAATGTAGTAAACTGGTTTGAAGACAGCTTTTTCCTTTTAGCACCCTTTGCTACTAAAGTCAGACTGGGTGTATGCCCTTAGACCTCTCCTCTCTCTCCCCTCTCCCTTGCATACTTCAGCAGTATATTCCTTATCTCTGTCACTAGAGTGTGACTTTTACACAACCTGCTGGCTACTTTCTCTTCTGCCTGCAGGTACTGGCTTAAATGTTTTAACTACCATCCTTGAAGCTTCAAGTTAAACCATTGCCACAGTGGTCTCAATTATAACTCAGGGTTTGAGATTGAATACAGGTCTTCCCCTGTATTCGACTAGACTAGACTGTAACCTTCCCAGTTGCAGAGGTTTTATTTTTGTTTTGTTTTGTTTGGATTTATTTATTATTTTTATATGGTGTTCCAGGCCAGAAGAGGGCACTAGATCTCTCTGTAGATGTTGTAGCCATCATGTGATTGCGGGGAATTGAACTCAGGACTTTTAGAACAGACTGTGCTCTTAACCACTGATCCACTTCTCCAGCCCTGTCCATATTTTTTTAGCACAGTGCCTTTTGCATTGTAGGCACTTGGACAAGTGAAGGGAATGAATACACTTATAAAAGAAAGGAAGCCAGCTTCCATTTACTGTCACATCAGCTTTGTCATTTAGGTGAAAATGTCCCTCCCTCACTTCATCACCATTTTTACAAATGCTGAAAGGCAGAGACAAGTGATATAACTTGCCCCAGGGACTGATAGCTACTTTCAGTAATAGGCTTACTTTGTTTTCATTTATCACAGATTTAAGATTTAAAGTGATACTGTAATCTTTTACTTTCTTCAATAACTGTCTTCTGTCTTAGTTCTACCATCTTTTTGCAGTCATGGAAGTATACCTGAAATGATCAAAGATTGAGTTTTTCTATATTTGTGCTTTTATAAATATTAAGAAATTCCAGTTTATTGAAGTCTGTAGAATTAACTGAACTTGCTATCTTAATACTTTGGGGCATGTATAGGTCAGCGTTTGCAGTTGTAAAGTCATCATCAGTAGGTGGACTTCTCACAGTAATTAATGTGACTTTTCTGTTGTCAGCATGTTGTCAGGTGGTTCAGATGGTGTGATTGTACTCTATGACCTTGAGAACACGAGCAGACAACCCTATTACACATGTAAAGCAGTGTGTTCCGTTGGCAGGTGTGTATTTGAAAGTGTAACTTATGAATATGTAAACAGTTCAATATTGTTTGCATCAAATGCAAAACATGAAAATAGCAGTCATATGTATAGCGTAACTAGAATTTTCAGTTGACATGGATATCCCTTGATACTTTTCTTGAAAATAAGCAAAATTCAACAGATTTTTTTGTCATGTGACTTTCTCCGAACAGTTTTTGTATCAGCTTTCAAATGAATTTTTAAATTTTGTGTACTTTTTGTTCTGTACTTACACTGCTTACTACGGTAGCTATGGTTTTAATGCCAATTAGTCTAAGGTTCATTCAGGAATCTTTCTGCCAATTATAAACTAACTTTTCAACTGACATTAGTGGGGGAAAGATTAAAAATAGATTAATAAATATGTAGACAGTCGTCTCACCACGCACACGCATGCGACTCTTTCTTGTCTGTCTGCTCACTCAAAAGTGCTCAGCTTAAGCTGGGACAGTGGTGGCTTACTTATCGCCTTTTTGATCCCAGTACTTGGGAGGCAGAGCCAGGCAAATGTCTGAGTTAAGGCCAGCTTGATTTACAGTGTGGGTTCTGGGACAGCCAGAGCTGTACAGAGAAACCCTGTCTGAAAAAACAAACAAGCAAATATACCTGTTAGTCCTGACTTCCCTGGCTGTTTGTTAATTTTTTTCCTAACGGTCATTTAAAGCTCTTTTGCTGTGTTTGTGTCTGATCTGTTCTTGGGCCAACTCTGCCTTAGAGACTAGCCACCAGTGCTCTCACAGGAAGAAGCTCACAGAGCTCTCTGCAGTCATTGTGTGCTATGTTCCCAGAGCACAGGGAAGGCCCCTAGGCCACGTGTCCCTATAATTTATGATTGTGTGTTTATAATATAGTAGATGCTATTCATTTTAGAAGCCAATTTTTTAAAATCTCTCTTTGACTCTGCTTATTTATTTTAGGTAATTTTGCTTGCTGCATCATTCTTACCAGGTTTCTGTGATAATACATACTTTTAAGCATGTTGAGACCTGTAAAAACTACTGTGTAAATCAAAAGAAATATAGTTAAAGGAAAAGTTCAGGGTGAACGAGGTGGCTCAGTGAGTAAAGGCACTTTGTCACCAAGCTTGGTGGCCTTAGCCCTGTCCCTGAGACCCACATAGTCAAAGAAGACTGGCACTCAGAAGTTGTTTTCTGGCCTTCACATGCAGGCCATGTGCACACACAAATAAATGTAATTAAAAATGGAGAAGATTATCTTCTCAATTACTCTGGGGTATCTGGGCATAGTGGCATATGTCTTTAATCCCAGAACTTGGGAAACAGAGGCAAAGGAGCTCTGTGAGTTTGAGGCCAGCCTGGTTAAACTAGTGAGTTCCAAGACAGCCAGGACTATGTAGAGTGGACTCTCTCTCAAGAACAAACAAACAGTAACAACAACAGCAACAACAAAAACCCAAACAATAACAACAACACCAAAGAAACAAAACAAAATTCTCTAGGACTTTTTTTGTAGAATATTTTTTATTCTTTGACCTTGTCGTACATGAATTCAATGCATCTTAATCAGATCTACCTCCCACTTCTCCAAGACCCTCTGCAACATGCCCCCTCCCAATTTCATGTTTTCTTCACTCATAACTCATTTAGTCCAAATAGTGCTAGAGGCATGCTCATGGATCTGAAGTCATCCATCAGAACTTGGGCAGCATCCTGTGAGAAAAGTACCTCCTTTGTCAGTTTCCATCAGTTGCCAGTAGCTCCTTTGCTATGAGTGGAGCCTTGTAAGCTCCTCTTCCATGCCTGCTGCAGTGTAGACTGGCTTGACCCTGTGCAAGCCTTAGGCAGATAACCATGACCACTATGACTTCATGCAACAGCCATGTTGCCCAGATGACAACATTTGACAGCACTGCTTCCTGTCCTCATCTCCTACATTCTATCTACTCCTCTTCTGAGCCTCACAGTGCTGAGCACCCCAGGGTTACTTAACTCAGCACTTCGACCTGTTCTGAGTTTTTGCTTTAGCTGATGCCCCTGCAGAAAGAAGTTTCTCTGAGGCTGAGGGCAGCCATACACTGTGGGTATAATCAGAAACATTTAGAAGGCATTTGGTTGGCACCACATCTTTTAGGCAAGACAACCATAGTAAGTAAGCCACCCCTGACCTGCAAACTCCCTAGCTGTGAGCATTTGGCCAACTTTACAGTACCAGGCACAAGTTCCTTTTGGTGGAGCAAACCTCAAATCCAATCTTGCCACTGTTCACCACCTTGCCTGGCAAATTGGTATTGTAGCATGCAGCATCCATTTCTGGGTAGTATCACTGATGAGTTTTTCCTCGTAGTAGCCTACTAGTCACCTTCTAGTCCTACTAGTCACTGTGAAAGCTAGCCAGCTAGGAGAAGAGTTGTAGGTCAGTTCCAGCTTGATTTCTCCATGTCCTGCAACCAAGGTTTAATTTGTCTTCACCAATAATGTCTTATCATCTAATTATTATAGGTGGTGATTTATATTTACTATTGATATATCTTCTGATAAAGCTGCTGTTAATCCTAAACAGCTGTATACCCAAATCACCACACAGAGACTATGATGTATTTAATTAACCTAGAACACAATGCTGGGCAATAGTTACTCCATCCTAAACCTCCAAGCCCTCATAGTTTCCCAACATTTAGATTTCCCACATTATACTTGCTTTTAGTGATATATTAGGTCCAGTCCATCTCTCCACGTCCTTCCAAGATCTCTGCTCCTGCCTCTGTTCTCCCAGCTCTCATCTGCCCTTCTCTCCTCTGCCTCCCACCTTCCTGTCCTCTGGCTCCTCCCGCTCTTCCTGCTTCCTTTTTCATTGTTCAACATTGTAGCTAGTTGCTTTATTTTGGCATGTTTACACAAAGTTGAGACAGGTGATGCTTAGAATAAGTATCACAATGCAATGTCCAGATTGAAACCAGAGAGTGGGGGAGAGAAATCAGCATTTGAATGAACAAGGGTAAGGTGTATACATTTCAAAAGAACATTATACCAACATTTCCCCCTTTAAGTCCAATAAAAGACTCCTTTTCTTTCAATATAATAGTAATCATGAAATTATGAAAACTGTTAGGTAAAATTTACATGTGCAGTGTCCACTCCATGTGTATTTAGCAATTTAGGAGAAAGTATCTGATTATCCTATCTATCTTGACAACTTTAGAGTTCTATAGGTAAATTAACTTTTATCCTTATTGGTATTACCTACCTGAAAGGATTTCTAAATTTCTAAACAACTTAAGCTTAATTGTGGCACTATAACTATTTGGTTTTCAACCTCATCAGAGACTTGAGAAGGAATAAAATTAGTTATTAGAGCAAATAGGAAGTGCATGTTAGCAGCTTCCAAAAAATAAAAATTGACAGAGACAGTTTGCTGCCTGAACAGTCACCCATAACTCTCTATAACGTTGGAGCATCATCTTCAGCCTTCTACTCAGAATATTTGACAGACATATATGTGAAGCAGGAACTATTTAGGACTTGCTTACCCTGTCTTAGCAGAGTTCGGCAGTCGACTTGTCCTGCATTATCTTGCCCATTTTTGGCAGAATTTCTCTGTCATGACACTAGGGTATTTTCTTTACCCAAGTGGCTTGTTTGAAGCTATCTCCATATGGAGGTTCTTCAGTGCTCATCTTCTTTCAGATAGGCAGGGTGCTGCCAGGAGATGACTTGTCTCATTGTCAAAGAATCTTTAAAATAATAAAGTCATTTTAAAATGCCATATTCCGTAGGTCTCTGAAGTTTTTGAAGACTACCTATCTTTATATAATCAATCTGTCTACAAAATCATATCTATCTGTTAAACCTAGGATGTATACTCCTGTGATAAATTAGACTAGTGTCTGACATGACTATGAGTTGAATAACTACCAATTAACCTGCATTACCTAATATCCTAACCAGTTTTGGAAAGCAGTTTAAAAGTATTAGAAGTAACCTTGAAATTGTATCAATATACTAGAGCTTATACCAATGTATCAAAAATACTTATTTTTGCATCAATATGCAAAATCCTGTACCAGAGTTAAAATTAACCATGTTTGAGAACAACTCAACCCTAAGTTGAGTAGATTCAATCAATAATCTACCTTTTGTCTTATTCCTATAAAATATCCCTGTATACTCCTTTCTTTTTAACCCTTTTCCTCCTTATCTAAGAAGGAAAGATAAAAAACAGAAAAGAGAGAAATCCCTGAGTCTAACCTTGTTTCACTCTGAATAAGACCATTAATAATTTATAAACATCTCCCAATGACAGTGAACATTTGTAGCCATAGAAAATAACCAAAAAACTACCCAACCCCCTTTAAGGAAAATTGGACGTCATTTTGGACACGCAGAAATCCTGTTAGGGGGCCCAAAGAAAATTGGGAAAAAATGGTTAATTAAGCAAACAATAACATTTGTGGTCCAGTCTTTGAATGTTGAGAAATTTCAGGCTTAATAAAAGTCCTCTTTGGAACAGTCTAAAATGCTGGACTAATTAAGATTAGTAGCTTTCTTCAAAGTTCTTTTGGGAGCAGGCTTTGATGAGAAACAGCAATAGAAGCAGTTGAGGCAGGAACAAGCAGAATGCTGGAACGTGCAAGATGCTGGAACAGATGTGTCAATGTTTCAGCATGCTGAAGAATGAATCCTGTCAGGTTTGATCCAGCATCTCTGGTGTCCAGTTTTTTTCTTCTGCAAACATGTAATTTCTCACAAGCATTATATAGTTCTAAAATTATGAATGTATGAAATGTGCAGAATGAAACTAAACTGTAAGCCAATTTTATCTATGCCAATTAAAAGAATGGCATAATAAATTTTTTGAGGATATAGCCAAGGATTTATTGGCCAAGTATTGTTGAAGTTTTGGCTGGAGACATATTTTTATGTCTCATTAGTTTTAGAGTTGTTTCCAGGTAAATGGATTTTCAAATTATGTTCCCTATCTGTTTGCTCTTCTTGATGTCTCTCTTCTTGTGAGTGGCCAAGGTCTTCAGGTGGTCTTCCCCTGTCATATCTGATTTTTATTAGTTTTGAAGGAACCCATAATTTCTCTTCTCCTGCATGAACATAAGCAAAACCTCTTCTCCAGCGTAACACATTCCCTATTCTCCATTGTGAAGTTAGGGTATATCAAAATGTCTTATCATCTAATCATGGTGGACAACCAAGATGAATAACAATAGCCTAGGTCCTTTCAAAGTTGTAACACAGCATTGGACCTGCTTCTTAAGAGGCTTCAGCCATTTACACACTTTCCCTGAACCCTAATCAAAAAGCAAAAAAATTAAATTCTAAAGTAATGGCCTGGAACTCACAGAGATCTGCCTATGTGTGCCTCCTGGGTGCTAAGTTTAAAGGTGTGTGCTATTAATCTGATGTTATCTGACTTTAAAATTTAGCATTAAATTTATTAAATAGTGAAATATATACATTTTTCTATGTTTGACATATGTGTGTGTATATATATATATATATATATATATATATATACATACATACATACATACATACATAATGTTACCCTATGAGGAACTGTGATCTGGTAAGATTTTTAGTATATAATATAAGTAAATATTTTGTGTATCTATTTTATTTTATTATGACTTTTATTCCTATGTTCAAACTCTAAAAGTATGACTTTGCATATCAAAGTGGTTATATTTACAATATCATTTAAAAATAATTTTAGTAAAATTTATTGTTATTGATAGTAGATGAATTTAGTAAAATTCACTGTAATACTCACAGGCTACTTTTAATGTTTGTTGTTGATACTTAATTTGTTTGTTCTTAAGCATTAAAAAGATTTAACTGCCAAAATTCCTACTAAATGTACCTGAAAATAACATCATAGGTAAGAGAATGATACAACAGTGTGTCCTGTTTTAAAATGTAAATTTTAAATATAAATGAGCTTTTGTTTGAATTTCTACAGTAAGGACTGGTTTTATTTATTTAAAACAACTCACCAGAAAGTCTCTTAAAATCAAGACTCTGTGGAGCATAACAAGGTTGATTCTACTTATTTCAAGTAGAAACTTACTGGACTGATGTTTGAGTATCATGTGGTTGTGGAGAAAATGAAAGAAATCAAATTTACCAAACGGTTAAAAAGACATGCTAAAACAGGCAACAAGGCCAAGGTCACAGTACAGAAATAATTCCCATTGGACTTTGGTACGTGTCACCAACATAGGCCAACTGTACATACAGCCTTGACTAATTGCTCACTCTCTTTGGGATTTCCATTCATGCCTGGGATTGAGCATTCCAAATAGACCAATACAGCTCAGCACATAGCTTTGCCCTGGCTCCAAGGAAGAGCAAAAGACAATTTCTAGAGTCCCTTGCTTTCTGAAGCAGAAAGTAGGTACTTGCTCTCAACATAGCAGAGGTTCCCTGCAATGAGGAGGAGCTTGACTCCTTAGCAGAAAAGAAAAAAGGCTCCTGTGTACTGCTGTCCACATGTTTGCATGGCCAACCCCTGTGGACAAACAGTATCGCCTGGAATCCCATGGTGGTGTTTGAAGCGTTGAGTTTCACTCTAATTCCGTTCTAATAGTGGTAGCTAAGAAAGGAAGATCTCAAGCCCAAAGATCTCTTTCTTCCAGTAAGGAAAGCCACTGCCACCTCCAAAGTGAAACAGTCCACTATAGTTTCCCCTCTCCCCCTACCCTCTTCCCCCCAACCCCCATACCTTATACAACATAGGAGTGAGGATATCCCACATGGCGCACCTTAGGAGAAGGCAGGCTTCTACATCTCACTGTGGGAATTGAATCTGGAGATGCCTAGACATCTCTTTCCCCATCTGAACAGCTAAGACAAGGATGTGTGGTGGTGTTGTAGCAATCTGCACCTTCCTACCTGAGCCTGCTTCTTTATCATAATCTTGTCTTTGTAACTCACCTAGGTCAGCAGTCTCTTAAGTTTCGATTGCTGTTTTGTAGAAGCCATCCTGATGCTCACAAATACAGTGTGGAGACTGTTCAGTGGTATCCTCATGACACAGGCATGTTCACATCCAGCTCATTTGATAAAACTCTAAAAGTATGGGACACAAATACATTGCAGGTAAGTATATTAAAACCTTTCCAAATTGCTATGGAAAGTTGAATCCTGAACCATAGTGGTTAGTTTTTTGCTAAGATGTTCTGTGTGTCAGATATGAAAGCGGTATGGTTAAGGAGAGCTAGGTAGTCGGGTTTTTATCCTCGTTACCTAACTTCTGCTGATCACTCCATGACAGTGGGATAATGCCAAAGCACCCTGCATCTCTGCTCCCTCATCTGTAAATGAGGGCAAAGATGGCCCCTTCTAGAATGGTTTGAGAAGAGCATGAGCCAACATACATAGAACACCTAGCACAATGCCCAGAACGTAATCAGCACTCAAAACCTTATCAAATCTCTTTATTTACTTTGAGCTAAGGAATAGAATTAAACTTTTCCCCTTTTAATCCAAAAACATGCAGGAAAAGAAAGTTTTTATAATATAGGTTAATAAAAATAGGTAGTAGAGATGAGAATTATATGAAAACTAATGAAATTTAATGTATAGTACTACTTCCCTTCAGCTTTATATCTTCCTACCTGTAAAACCTCTCTATACACATGTGGCTTCTCTTCAGAGTTGTTGTTTCCTGTCTTCTGTGCTAGCCAGGATTATATAATAAGATCCTGTCTTAAGAACAAACAAAAACAAAATGAATTCCAACATATATTATAAAGATTAAATGCATCTCATGAATGCATCTCATGAATGTGGTTCCCATTTTGAACCACAGTATCTTGTAACCCAACTAATCCTCCATTGGCAAAACCAGCAAAGTTCTGTTTAAAGGGTTTGAAAACCTGCTAAGGAATCTAGAATCTGTTAGGCTGATTCTCAGAGAACAGAAAGATTTATAAAAGTAAATTAAACTTTATAAATGTTTCACTCTTGTTTTTTTTTTTTTTTTATGTATAGCAAGCGACTGAGGAGGGGGGCATTAGATAGCTTTTAAGAGACAGCAGCAGCTGGTCATAGCAATATATGCCTATAATTCTAGTATCTGGGAGGCTAAGGCAGGGGAATCATGAGTTTGGCGCCCTGTCTTGTGAGTTTAACCTGGGCTGTAGAACAAGGCCTGCCTCAGAGCAGCAGCAACAAAAATACACACAAGCATGGTTCCCGGATCCTGAAATGGGAATTAGGTAAGTATTATATTGGAGGGCTTTGCAGTAAATGCATCTGGAGATAACCCAGGAACTGATTGGTTTGGATCTGATTCAGAAGTGAGGTCTACTCTGAAAATAGAAAATTTTAAGTCAGTAACATTTGGTTGAAGAAAATAAAAACAAAACCCTAAGGATGACCAGGGTTTATAGGACAAAAGAAGTGGCAACAAATCCTGCAAAGTAACGAAAAGGAATGGCCTCAGAGTAAGCGGCACATCCAGTATGTATTAACACTGGAAGCCGGGAAAAGACTGATTCAAGGACAATGGGGTGAAAAACCAGATAGATTAATGAGGCTGTTAGTGATAGTGGAAGAGTAGTGTAAATAAGAATATTGAAACAAAACTAAGATTGCAGTGAGTTAAGAAATGATAAGGGAACCCTGAAAGATGAGGAAAGAAAATTAAGGGGTGGTGGAATAAAAGCTTTGTTTATTTTGTCTTGGGGAATAGATATTAAGAAGACTTAGCTTTCAGTACTGCTGGGAATGAGCCAGTAAGGACAATAATTGGAGATAATCCATAGCTAACCTGTAGATTGAGATCGGCCCTGTGTTGAGGGGATCTGAACACAAGCAGAGAGATTAGCTTGTGAAATGGGGAACAATTTTTTCTATGATAGAAATGAAGATCAGAAAGCTCAAGCAAAAGTGACTGGCTACGTAAGAGATTGGGAGATTTCTGAGTTAGTGGCTCTTCTCTTTGAACTAAAAGATCTGAGCACCTGTTGTGACTGAGTAGAGATACCTTTGGACAGTGGAGAAAGCTGGCAATGCTGCAGGGTGGTGCAGACAACTGGTTTAGTAAGACAGTGCTCTGTAGGCTGAGAGATAGTCGTTACTAAAGAATGTGTGCAGTGAGTGTCTTCTACTACAGGGTCTGCCTGAGTAAAGCAGAGCCTGGCTAACAGTAAGCTCTGACTTGGCATGTCTTCTTGTAAATAAAGTGCTATTAGAAAATAGGCATCTTCACAGATGTAGCCCATGGCAGTTTAGTGTCCAAGTGGGTTACATAGTAATGGGAAGAGAGACTGCCTTTGACATAATCTGATTGGCCTGCTCTTTGATACCCCCCCCCAAGGGGGGAGCAGCCTTACCAGGCCACAGAAGATGACAGTACATCCACTCCTGATGTGATCTGATAGACTAAGATCAGAAGGAAGGAGAGGAGGACCTCCCATTTCAGTGGACTTGGGGAGGGGCATACATGAAGAAGGGGGAGGGAGGCTGAGATCTGGAAGGGAGGAGGGAGAGGCTTATGGGGGATACAAAGTGAATAAAGTGTAATTAATAAAATAAAATTTAATTTAAAAAAAAGAATATAGGCATCTTGGCTAGTAGCTGCTTTGGCAGTACCGTAGCAGAGATGTCTGACTATCTTTACTCATTGGTACTGCAGAAAAAAAGCTTACCAGTTTTTTGTACATGAATGCAGCAGTAAGTTCAAAAAAGAAGATATTTTATGGTATTCAGGGTAAAGGTTTTGACAAATAGGACAGCAACAAACAGAGAGAGTGGTGTTGGATGTGTCAGACTTTACAGTGGACAGGAAGGAATGCTAGGGATTCTGGGACATGTTCAAGAGCCCTAGAGTAGTTGGTAAAGAAAGCCAAAAGGAGATACTGTGTTACATACAACTGCAGTTTATGATTTCAAAGGTATGATTAGCATCATGGGATGGGAGCTGGGGCCAGGTGGCACTGAGAGTCAGAGCTAGCTAGCTCACTAATGGAGATGCCAGCCTGCCAGAGAGAGATGCTGAGCCAGAGGCTTGTCTCTCCTGGATTTCTTACATTTTAGCTAATAAATTGCTAACAGTCCATTTACAATATGTTTACATTGCTTTGGTTTTACAGTTTTAACTTCTCTTGATTAACAGGCTGTAGATGTCTTTCATTTTGAGGAGACGGTTTACAGTCATCACATGTCACCAGCAGCCACCAAGCACTGTCTGATAGCAGGTGTGTACACATTCTTTGTCTTTTGGCATATGGAGACTCTCCGATTTTAGAGCTAGTGAAGTTTGACAGAAAAACTGTAACCCAGGTAAAGATTACTTTAAACACTATACACTAGTTAACTCCAACACATGCTAATGGCTAGGATTCAATCAGAGTATCGATTCTCTTTCTCCCCTTTCTTCTTTCCTTTGGTTTGCTTCTTTCAGAAAATATGTATTTGTTTCCTAAGTTCTTTTAAGTCACCAAACTTTTAGTTATTTTATATGGACAAAATACGGCAGCTTGGACTGGCTAGTTGCTCAATGGGTAGGGCTGTTTGCTGCCAAGCCTAATGCCTAGAATTTGACCCCTGGAACCCACATGGTAGGACAGAGCTACTATAGCAGCAGCTCTGACCTCAACACATACTCCTGCTCTCTCTCTCTCACTAAATAAATAAATGCAATTTTTAAATTTGTTAACTTATAGCTCAACACAATAAAAGGAAAACATCTTTCTTCTTAAACACTGTGATTGAAAGCAAATGGGCACTTATATGAATCCTGCAACAACAGCAATCTATGCATAAAGAAGAAAAAAAAAATGTTAACCTAATAGCAGATATCCAGTCCCCAGGACTCTGTTATTCCTGGGCACTGCATGAGTCTCCTCACAGGCAGACATCAAGTAGCTGCTTCATCTCTAAGAGCCAGGCGCTAAATAGTCTTCAAGATCCGTTCAGCCTGAGCCAGAGTTGGTATGGAGTTGTCTCTAGCAGTTGGAGGGACAGCAAGAATACTAACTTGGGAAATCTGAGCTGTTGAGGTTGAATGATTTCATGTGATAAAGTGGCAAAGAATGATACATACACTAGAATGCTATGTGTATGTGATAGAGGCTCCCTCGTGATTCTCACTGAAGTTACCTCTCGGTTGTCTCTGCACAGCCCTACAACCTGTGCAAATCTGTACTGCTATATAGAGGGTGAGACTAGGCAGTGGAAAACACAGTTCTGCTCTGAATAAAGTGCAGACATTTCTCTAGTCATAAACAATAAAGATGGCTTAGATGTTTGTAAATGTTGTGATTATGAGTGATAATTTGCTGAAATCTGTTTTATAATTTATAATAAGTGTTATATAAAACCTTTTCATCTTTTAACAGTTGGTACTAGAGGACCCAAAGTACAACTTTGTGACCTAAAGTCTGGATCCTGTTCTCACATTCTACAGGGTAATTTATTTTATTTTTTTAATTTGGAACAACTACTACTTTGAGTAAGCTGCTCAGTAAAAAGAAACATCACTAACAATGTGTCCTTTGTAAATGACATGATTGATACATTTTGTACTAGTCGTTAAGTCAACAGAGAAATAAAAGTCCTTGTGTGTATTATTCTTGGGAAACTGAACTGTTAAGATATTGATATGAACAATAACCACAAGGGAAACTCAGGGGATATGGAAAGTAGGAAATCCAGCTCAAAGCCTTCGGCTGTTTCTACATTTAAACACTGGACGAGGAATCAAACTGGCATCATCAGCTGTGTCTTGTGACCACTGCTCGATAATGCGGCTAATGAGAAGGCTTTGTTCTTCATACTTAAATCTCTTTCCCTCAGTACAGATACTTTAGAAAAAGTGTTAAAAGCAATACTTTGTGGAAAGTATATTAATATAAATAATTTTATTAATTTTATCCATATTATATCATAACAATGAAATATTGGAACCTAATTCAGAAATGCACCAATTCTCCAGCCCAATTGGTGGCATTTATGTATTATCAGTAATTTCTATTGATTAAAAAGTTAGGCAGGTAAAAATTTCTGACTTGAATACTTCCATTAGGTAAAACTATTCTACAGGTTTATCATCTATTTTCTCTAGAATTAGAACTGTTAAAAATGCCTTTTTCAATCAAGAGTTTTTTCTTTTTTCTGTTATAATTTTTGTAAGAATTGTAAAATATTCCTATTTCTTTAAAATGCTTATGTTTTATTGCTATGTATTTCTGTTGATAGGTGCCTCAGTTATGTGCACTGAATGATACAAATTAGTAATTGTATTTTTTCCAAAGCAGAAGCCATTCCTTCTATCTTAAAAGTCCTGGGTTAAAAACTCCCAACAAATCTCACATTAGGTGTTTAAACATAGACACTGCAAGTTTAAGAAGTAATCATATCTATTCACTACTATTTATGCTTGCTGTTTTCTGAATCAGGCAAAATTATTGACTCCTTATTTTTATTGTTTTGTTTTCTTTTTTAAATATTTTACAAGACTTTTTACACACTTGTATTTGTAGGTCACAGACAGGAAATATTGGCAGTGTCCTGGTCACCACGCTATGACTATGTCTTGGCAACAGCAAGGTAAAGTGTAATATATTTTGTTTTACTATTAGTATTAGTAATTAGCAGCCTTTTGAAAGATTACATTTTCAATCGATACATATTTTGTCATATATGGTTGTTAGTAACTGAAAATGAAATATCAAGTAACAAATTTCAAATTCTATCAGCAAAGAAAATTCCCTTTGCATCTTTTGTGTGTGTGTGTGTGGTATGTGCGCAGGTGCACATGTCTGTGAGCGTCAGCCATGGGTTGACGCGGGTTGGCGCCTTCCCGCTGTATGCATTGAGAACCCCTGGACTGAACCTTGGGCTCAGCAGGTCAGGTAGGTGGGCTGGCTTGTTTCTGTGTCCTCGGCTCTGGATTACGGGGTACACAGCTGCACATGGCCTTGCAGGGGACCTACACTCATGTCCTCACGCTGGTGCTACAGACCTTACCTCGTAAACTGACTACCCAGGGCCCTCCATGGCATGATCTTGAAGGCATTCGCCTTTTACAACAAAGGGAAAGCAGGAGAGTCTCTGAAGTGACACGAATCTGCTGGCACTGGTAGTGAAGCTGTTGTGTAATTTTCCTACATGGAAGTATAACACTCACTTAACAGTGTCATTTTTTTTCAGTTTCTTTAACCCATCTATCCATTGATTTAGTTTATTAGTATTTAATTGCTTCAACCCGTTCCAAGTATTGTACTAAAGATGCTGGTTGATCTAAACCTCAGAAAGCTGATAGTCTAAAGGAGGAAAGATCGGTGCCTACAGAACACCCTGAAATGCCTTACAGCAGTAGACCTTCCGTAAGAGTGCAGGAAGAGAACAGGGCTACTTGCCTTCGGGGAGGTGGAACAGTGTGAGGGTGGGGTAGTCACTGGAGGGAGAGGTAGTAAAGACATGGTAGGCTGTCGGGGAGAGGCGGGCTACAAGTACATAGAACCTCTGGACAGCTATACTCAGTTCAGGAAATGGACTACAGCTACACCAAGCCACAGGAATCCAAACATCACCTGACATAAACAATGAGTTTTGGTGTTTAAAGGAAAGTACCTCACCATATGGAAATTGTGGAAGCCCTGCTAAAAGGAAAGAAAATCACATACACAGAAAATTGTGGGAAGGGCCAGTGACCTGAGGAAGTAAAAATATATGATTTCTGAGGTACAGCCATGTCTAGACTGTGGCTATTTAAAGACACCTAGGACTGGTAAGATGGCTTAATGGTGAAGATGCTTGCTGCCAAGCCTGCTCTGGAGAAAAGAACCAGCTCATACAAGTTGTCCTTTGACATTTGCGATGCACTCATGTACACACTTGCACATGTATGCACATATGCAAAATTAAGAGTTTGTAAAGAATATTATTAAGATCTTTAGGAGGACATGAATCTGAGAGCACATGTCATCACTGGGTGACTTTTTTATTTTAATTTTTTCATAATTTATTCAATATATACCCCGATTGAAGCCCCCGCCCTCAACTCCTCCCAGTCCCACCCTCCATCTTCTGAAAGGGGGAGTTCTCCACTATTGCCATCTGCCCATAGCTTATCAAGTCTCATCAGGACTGCCTGGATCCTCTTTCTCTGTGACCTGTAAGAGTGCATCCCCAGGGCAAGTGATCAAAGAACAGGCAACCAAGTTAATGACAGAGGCAGCCCCTGCTCGCCTTACTTGGGAACCCACATGGAGACTGAGCTGTCAATTGGCTACATGTGAGCAGGGGGTCTAGGTCCTCTCAATGCATGGTCTTTGGTTGGTGCATCAATCTCTGCAGGACCCCGGGCTCAGATTTTTTAGCTTTGTTGGTCTCCTGGTGGAGCTCCTGTCTCCTCCATGTCCTTCTATTGCCCCCCCCCTTCTTCCATAAGACTCCCTGCACTCTGCCCAAAGTTTAGCTGTGAATCTCAGCATCTACTGCAATCCTTGTTGGGTGGAGCCTTTCAGAGGACCTTCTGTAGTAGGCTCTCATCCTATTTCCCCTCTTCCACTGTTTCTGCTGTCTCTCCGATTGCCATTCTGAAAGAGATTTAGGCATCCTCCCTTCGATCCTCCTTAGTGTTTAGCTTCATTAGGTCTGTAGATTTTAGTATGGCTATCATATATTATATGTTTAATATCCACTTATAAGCGAATATATACCATGTGTGTCTTTCTGTTTCTGGGTTACCTCACTCAGGATGATCTTTTCTAGTTCCATCCATTTGCCTGCAAATTTTATGATTTCCTTGTTTTTAATTGCTGAGTAGTATTCCATTGTGTAAATGTACCACAATTTCTGTATCCATTCCTCAACTGAGGGACATCTAGGTTATTTCCAGACTCTGGCTGTTACAAATAAAGCTGCTATGAACATAGTTGAGCAAATGTCCTTGTGGAAAGGAGGAGCATCATTTAGGTATATGCCCAGGAGTGGTATAGCTGAATCTTGAAGTAGTGCTATTCCCAATTTTCTGAGAAAGTGCCAGATTGATTTCCAAAGTGGTTGTACAAATTTGCACACCCACCAGCAATGGAGGAGGGTTCCTTTTCTCCACAACCTCACCAGCATGTGTTGTCACTTGAGTTTTTTATTTTAGCCATTCTGATAGGTGTAAGATGGAGTCTCAGAGTTGTTTTGATTTGCATTTCCCTGGTGACTATAAGGATGTTGAAAATTTCTTTAAGTGTTTCTCCACCATCCGATATTCCTCTGTTGAGAATTCTCTGCTTAGCTCTGTACTCCGGTTTTTAAATTGGATTATTTGGTTTGTTGGTGCCTTTAGTTCTTCATATATCCCAGATATTAGCCCTCTGTCAGATATAGGGTTGGTGAAGATCCTTTCCCAGTCTGTAGGCTGTCATTTTGTTCTGTTGACAGTGTTCTTTGCTTTACAGAAGCTTTTCAGTTTCATGTCCCATTTATTGATTGTTGATCTTAGAGCCTGTGCTGTTGGTGTTCTGTTCACGAAGTTGTCTCCTGTGCCAATGAGTTCAAGGCTCTTTCCCACTTTTTCTTCTAAAAAATTTAGTGTGTCTGATTTTATGTTGAAGTCTTTGATCCACTTGGACTTTAGTTTTGTGCAGGGTAATAGATAGAGATGAGTTTGTTTGTATTTTTCTACATGTAAACATCCAGTTAGACCAGCAACATTTGTTGAAAAGGCTATCTTTTTTCCATTGCATGGTTTTGGCTTCTTTGTCAAAAATCAGGTGTCTGTGGGTGTGTTGGTTTATTTTTGGGTCTTCTTTTTTATTCCATTGATCCACCATTCTGTTTCTATGCCAGTCCCATTTTAATTACTGTTGCTCTATAGTACAGCTTGAGATCAGGGATGGAGATACCTCCACAAGATCTTTTATTGTAGAGGACTGTTTTAGCAGTTTTTTCTTTGAAGGTCTGTAGAGAACTGTGTTGGTAATTTGACGGGAATTGCATTGACTATGTTAACCCTGCCAAGCCATGAGCACAGGACATCATTTCATCTTCTGATGTCTTCTTGAATTTCTTTCTTCAGAGACTGGAAGTTTCTTTCATTCAAGTCTTTCACTTGCTTGGTTAGAGTTACATCAAAATACCTTATGTTTTTGTTCACGGGTGATTTTTGGAGGTTAAATTGATCCCTGTTGTTTTACTTGAAAGACAGTAAAGTGTCTAGCTTCTAGAAGGTGTTAAATGTAGTTTTCTACTGAAGACTTTTTTGAGCTCAAAAAGCAAATGAAATTAGATCAAACTCTTTATTATATATCTTATTTTCAAACTTTTGATATAAAAAGCAAGAAACACCAAATTGATGCTAAATAAATGCTTAAGCAATGAGAGTCTTTAACTGCTTGATGATCTAGCTAGCATTTGAGAAGTAACAGAAAGTAAGTCATACTTATCATGATACAACTTTGGACAAAAGTAAAATTTTGGCCTTGTTATTTGTTAAGAAAGATTACCTTTCTTTGCTACCTTTTCACTATTTTATGTGGTAATAGTGAAATATTTGTGGTAATAGTGAAACGCTGGCAAAGAGTGGAGTTATCCTAGCTATATATTTCAGTATAACAGTTATTGTTTTTTTTTTTTCCTCAGTGCTGACAGTAGAGTAAAATTATGGGATGTGAGGAGAGCATCGGGATGTTTGCTTACTCTTGATCAGCATAATGGGAAAAAGTCACAAGCTGTTGAATCAGGTAATGAAGACCACATTAAGATAGAAGTATAGTAATGGTTCCTATGGTATTTTTTAATTGAAATCAAGTAACAAATATATATTAGCGAATTAAAACCCGCTTTTTCATCCTGAATCAGTTTCTGAATCAAACTTACTTGGTTTTTTTTTTCCTCTCTCTCAAGATACAAATAACTATGTGGACTGCTTTTGCCTCCATGTTTCAAACATAGAAAAATTGGTTTGTAAATACTTTTCCTTTAAAACTAACCATGCAGATTCCCTTTTGCACAGATAGCTACAGTAGATTCAAGAAATAGTGATGTTTTTTGCTTTCATGTCACCATAAAAACTACAAGTTGTGGTCAGTGTAAGTTAGGTGCAATCCCCGTGATATTGCAGCTCCGTTGTGTTTTTATAAGGGATTTAATTCCTGGGTAGCAGTGTCCATTACCTCTGGACTAAAAGTATATTATATTAGTATATATATAAAAGTATATTAGAACATGGCATGAAATGGGATAACTCTTTAGGTTCTTTTTTTTCAAATTTAAAAGTGATATAACTTTTTATTTATTTTATTCTCTGCTAAACCTCTGCCAAATAGAGATAGAAAACACTAATATTTTTTTCTTCTTTTCTTTATTTCTTTTCTCTCTGATAATGCTGGGAATTGAACCCAGGTTGGCCTAAAACAAATGACCCTCTTTGCCTTCCAAGTGCTAGTGTTACAGGCATGCACTGCCACTTTAGATTTTTAATACTTTTTCAAGTGAGTTCTAGTTCAGAGGGAAATATATAAAAGGGCTGAAAAGTGTTTAAAGTTTTAATATTAAACTGTACATTTAACTGAATTTATTAGCACAGACAACTTACTGAAAAAAATTATATGTAATAATTTTTTTTTTTTTGCTTATTCTTTTCCTCTGTATTCATGGTTCTTTTAATGTAGCTTATTGTGTTCACTATATATATATATCCAACTTTTATATATATCCAACATTTATGGTTAATTTATGCTCAACTTGTGTTTTAAGTAATTCATTTTTTGTTCTTTTTTTGTTTTCTGTTTTTTTTTAATTTAAATTTCTTTTTTATAATTTATTCACTTTACATCCCACTTTTAGCCCCGTCTCTTGTCTCCTCCCAGTTCTACCCTCCTTCCTTTCCCCCACATTCCCATCCCCAGTCCTCAGAAAGGGGAAGCCCTCTTCCCCTACCATCTGACCCCAGCCTACCAAGTCTCATTAGGACTGCCTAAATCCTCTTCCTCTGCAGCGTGGCAAGCCCCTCCTCAGCCTCACTAGGGAGAAGTGATCAAAGTGCAGGCAATAGATTTCATGTCAGAGACAGCCCTTACTCCTCTTTCTAGGCAATCCACATAGAAACTGAGATGCCTATCAACTGCATCTGGACAGGGGTTCTAGGTCCTCTTCATGTATGGTCGTTGGTTAGTGCATCAATTTCTGCAGGCCCCTATGGGCCCATATTTGTTGGCTCTGCTGTTCTTATGGAGCTCCTGTCCTCTCTGGGTCCTTCTATTCCCCCACTCTTTCCTAAGACTCCCTGCTCTCTGTGCAAAGTTTACCTGTGAGTCTTAGCATCAGGGCTTCTCTATGTAGCTCTGGCTGTCCTGACACTCTCATTAGTTATTCTTTAATGAATTTAGATACATGGTAACAGAAAATATAAATCAAATGTGTTTTCACTGCAGCCAACACTGCTCACAATGGGAAAGTTAATGGCTTATGTTTTACAAGTGATGGGCTTCACCTCCTCACCATTGGCACAGATAACCGAATGCGGCTCTGGAATAGCTCCAGCGGGGACAACACCCTGGTAAGAGGCCTTAAAGGACCCTTTTAATTAATGGATCTGTGATGTACATTCTGTACTTTTCTATATACGTGAATCACAGCTGTTAATATATTTTAAAAGATAATGTAGAATTCTCAAGTCCAAGCAAGCTCCTCCACCTGGCATGCCTGGCACATCCTGCTTTCTCACTATGGCACGGCTGTAGTGGAAATGCACCTTAATGCTTCTAAATAAAAGGTTGAAAACTGCTGATACAGATGAAGTTACCAACAGTCAAAGTTTACATTTCTAACTAATCAGATCCCTTTCTTTACCTATCCTTTGTAGCTAATAGTTCTCTTTAAAATATTTGAGGGGTCACTTTGATTACTAATATTAACACTAGTATTTGTAATGCTGAGTACTGATAAGAGTGTCCTTTTGTGTATGTGATGATAGCCTCAGATCCAGAGGCTTCTGTCTGCCAGGCAAGCACTCTACCACTTAGCTGCATAATTGCTGTAGAGTGGCTCTTTGTCTGTCTCGGGAAGAACCTCAGGCAGTGGTTCATACCTTACACTCTTCCATTGCTGTGTTATTCCATGACCATGATCAGCCTTCTTCTCTTTCTTTCCTCTCTTCTTTTAGTAAGAATGTACTCAGCACTTACTTACGTGCCAAGAAGGTCTCTACAGCAATAGACAAAGCCTAGGGAAGCCTGCCTGGTCTCAGAAGCTTCCGTTCTAGGAAGGATTAAGAAAAAACCAAGATCAGTCAGTTCATGGATGAGCATTAAAATGAAACTGGAGAAAGGAAAAGCAAGCCCAAGGCTGGGCTAGCTAGTGTGTTCAAAGCACGACCCTATCTAAGGAAAAACTTAAAAGAAAAACACTAGGAAGTTGGAGTACCTGGGTTTCATAGGACAGTCAAATTAGACTTAGTTGAGAAGTTGACATTTGGGCTGGAGAGATGGCTCAGCTGTTAAAGGCTAGGCTCACAACCAAAAATATAAGTTACATTTGATCTAGAGGAAGTAAAAGACTTGACTCATCAGCTACTTGAGAGTTAATCTAGGGAAAGAAAGGAAAAATGTGCAAAGACTGATATGGTAGCATGATGAATACTGTTAGAACAACTGGGAGCTTTTGTGTTGAAATCTAGACAGTAAAAGGAAGAAAGTAACAGGAAGTACAGGACACCCAAGCAGCAGGGCCTTGGAGGCCTGTGTAAGGCTTAGGAGAGTGACAGCTAGTAAAAAATGATAGGATCACACTGGAAAATGTTCTACTCCATGTGTCAAAGCTCATTATGATAAATACAAATGGAACTGAGCACATGCACATATTTAATACGGTTTTATTCTACTTTTGTCTCCTTATTAAAGATGGTCCTCATGCTTTCCGATCTTGCCAGTAAATCTATATCCACAACAGTGAGTTTAGAATGGAAAATAGGGTTGTTAATGAACTTTATCAAAGTATGTTATTCATGAAGACATAATGAAGCTAACTTAGACACTCTCCTACAAAGGACACTGGAGGGGCTCAAGACAGTGATCCAAGAAAAGTCAACCCTGGGGAGAAACCCTGCCTTTAAATGTTAAAGGGCTTGTCAAGTCAAAAGCTGAATTCTGCTTTTTAGTAATTTTGAGAGTGTTGGGTGATTTACTTAATCAATACTCTTTTCCATTTTGGTGTCAACACTTTGTAGATCAAGGGTATTGGCTGCCTAAAAATATAATTACAAATTTAAAAAGTAGTGCTGAGCTGCCAAGTAGGGGCCAGAATGAATGTGGTAATTGTATGTTTTTTGCCTTGCATAAGAATGTGTAAGTATACTTTTCTAATATATCTTTAATTTCTAATATATCCTTAATTACAAATTATATACAAGTCTACATATTAAGCTTAGTAAAGGTTATTTTTTTTTTATTTTTTAGATAATAATAAATAGAAATAGATTTTTTTAAAAATTTCTCCTGGTACAACCCTTAATGGATCCTTAATGGTTTGTGATATAATTTCCCCATGGTTTGTAGACTGAAGTCTGGACACCATGCCTTAAAATACAGAGCAAATTCCTGCAGGGAAAGTTCACAAAGAGACTAGTTTGGCACAACAACAACAACAACAACAACAAAAAAAAAAAAAAAGAATTTAAAGAAGGTATTGGTGATGTCTGTTCAGTTACTGGTGTTGTCTGTTGTGTTGTGACTGATAATGTCAGAGAACAAAGTCCCTTCTTTGCTCATTGACACCACTGTAAGCCTCCCACTGTGCTGCTAATTTCTCTTTGGTTCTTTTTTCCTGTGTCTTCCAGTGTCACTGCTAGGCTCATCTCTGATTGATTATTCTAACATCCTAATTGTTCTAGCTCCTCTCCTTGGAAGTGTTCACTCCAAGTTTTTGCACTGTTCAACTGAATGCCTTTGCCTGCTGTATAAGTTCTAGCTCTCTCTCCCATTTCCCCATCTTTAGTGTATTGAATTCCTTCGAGGTATTTAGATTTGCCATACTCCCTTGCCCTTCTGTTCTGCTGCCCAGACTGCTACCTTTGCTTTAGAATACCCCCCCACCCACCCCCGTTGCTATTTCTCAGCTTTTAAGGTTCATCTGAGGCGCAGCCTGTCTTTGGTTCTTCTACTCTACTCTTGAAGCTTTCAGGACACCATGTGCTTAATTGTCTTGCAGTGTGCTATGATCACCACTTCATACAGTGAAGGAAAAATATTATATAATAAAATGTTTCAGTGGTTTAGTTGTATAATTTTGATACAGTATTTGAGGTATTTGAGTCTGACATTTACTTTTTTTTTCTTTTCCTGAGTCTGACATTTACTAGCCAAGATATATTGCTCAGATTACTTAGCTTTTCCATGTGTTCACTTCTTTCTGCCCTCTTTCTGTGATGTTTCCTAACTCTTACAGGGTTAATACAGGTGTCCCATGTAGGGCTAAACATGCACCAGTCACTCTCAGCGCTGTGATCAGTTATGAGTTTTTGCATTAGTTGCTGCCCACTGCAGAAAGAAGTTTCTCTGAGCAAGGTTGAGAGCAGCACTGATCTCTGGGTATAAACATAAATAGTTAGAAGGCTGTGTGATACTATGTCCATTAAGTAAAACAGTAGTAGTAGGTCCCCACAAGGAGGTATGATTTTCACAGCCATGGTCTTTTGACTGGGTTTGCAACAACACTGGCCTCAAATCCCCGCTTACTTAGAAAATGTTTTATTACTCTTAGATCTTTCATGCCACTATGGCACCAGTGGGCACATTGTCCATGGCAGGTTGGTATTGTTTCATTGAGGGTGTATCATTGAGTAATACCATTAATGACTTTTCCTGTTGCAGTTAGTATATAAGTATGGTCTAATAATATTTATTATTAGCCCTGTAATTATTAAGGCAGTATTATCTAACCTGCTATTATAATCAATAAAAGACACAGATACCTGATAGATTTTAGAATAGCCTTATCTTACTTGGGTTACCCTCTAAATTACCTCTGCCTCCAGCTGCATCCAGGCCATCTGCTGTAATAATTTCTATCCAGGCTACTTCCTATCCATAATTCCATAAGTACTTGCTTATTCTCTCATCTGGACCATATTCCTCCATCCATGCTGGCCATGTACTTCTTTCCATAGTAACCCATCAAAGCTCCCTGTTTCCTTCCTCTTCCAATACCTGTACTTTCTTCTTCCGTGATCCTCCTCCCCTCAAAGCCTTTGATCTTTGGCCTCTCCTACACCATTCTACCCTTCCCTGGTTTAGGTATTTTAATTAGCCAATCATGAATAATTTCTTAGGCAAGGTCACTAACATCATTTTTGGGGTACATGAGTGTCTGCTGGTAAAAGACAACAAGCAGACCTTGGAGAACAAATTAATTTACAATCAAACACAAAGTACCAGACCATGCTGTTAGACTTTTCTCCCCCAGCAACCTGCATAGCACCTTCTAACACTGAAAGCTTGCTAGCATAGGTGAAGATTTTGGGTCAGTTCTAAGTTGGTTTCTCTATGTACTGTATCCAAAATGAACAGCATCTTCAGCAATAGGGTTATTCCATTATGACAGGCAAGCAAGAGCAATGGCTACAGTTTTGTTGTTTTAAGGTCTCTTGGGTTCTTGCCAACCAGTAACTTGTAGGGAAGTATACCATTCTTGGCACGGAGATTTTCATTCAACTGTGTCTTCTGTGGGAGGCATTGTCCATGCATGGTACCTTTGTTCAAACTCCTTTTTTTGTTTGTTTGGTGTTGGGGTTTTTCTGTTGTTTTGTTTTGTTTTGTTTTGTTTTGTTTTTCAAGACAGGGTTTCTCTGTGTAGCCTTAGCTGTCTTAGACTCACTTTGTGGACCAGGCTGGCCTCAATTTCACAGAGATCTGCCTGCCTCTGCCTCCCTCAAGCTCCTTTAATAGTACAGGTCTCCATAAGGATTTTTTTCATACAACCTTACTGTTCATTAACTGAGCTCCCTCCTCCTCTTCCTCCTTTTCCTGTTCCTCTCCGCATTCTCATTTTAACCACCAGTAATCGCCTCCTACTTTCAAATCATGTGTGCTCTGTCCTTCCCTCGCCTCTAAGCTCTTCCCGAGCCACTCCTTCCCATAGTGGCTCATCAGTGGATATAAGAGATGTGGGAATTCATAATTCTGGATGTAACTGGTACCTTCATTTCCCATGTGCATGATTTCATTTATGTTTTTACAATAACACTATGGTAAATGGTGTCATTTCCATTTAGCAGATTAGAAGAATGGAGTTTAGAGGCTAAGGCAGAGTGACCCTCTAACACATAGATTTCAGAACCCAAGTTCATTGTTCAGTGGACTTCACCACAGCTGCCATGGGGTGGCTAAAGGCACAAGCTTCTCTCCATGGGAATTTAACACTTTCAGTGGTTGCCATTGTGCTGCACTGAGTCCTCTGGGCATATTAGTCTCTGCTGCTTAGTTGTTTCCTTAAAACAAATCCTGTGGCAATGACTAGATTGAGAAGTAATAACAGCGTTGCTGTTTAGTTCTGAAAGAAGTGAGGATTGCGCAACAGTGCCGTTGCCGTTCACCTGCATGCTAAGAGTGGTTGCCTCAGCTGGGTTTTACTGTGTGTTGGTTTTATCACAGCACAAGCTTAAGAAAAGTGCAGCCTACCCAAGAGAGACAGCTTTCTATTTTGTTTTATATTAAACCATCTTTCCTTTTTGAAGGAATAGCCAAATTATGGAACCAATAATATGTTCTCCTTACTTTTTACCAGTATGGAAGGTTTCTTAAAATTTTAGCCAAACCAGAGTCTGGGGTTGCAGTAAGATTAGAGGTCTCCTGTAACATACACGAGGGCCTGAGTTTTGACTTCAGGTACCAAAAAGAAAAAGAAAAGAAAATATTTTTTTTTAAATTTGACAAATTGAAAATGATTCTTCAAGTTTCTCTTTGTTGCATCATATGTCATTTGCGATTTTGATCACAATTTCTGTTTCCTCAAATATATAATGTATATTCGTATCACTGGCCCTTTTTATTAAGATATTAGTTTCTTTATGTTTAAAGGCCCTTTCTATAGAGTGTCATAAGAAGTAAAGGAAGTATTTGTTTCAGTCTTTGTTTCCTTTTAAACTTGGGCTTAAAAAAATGAGCAACATTATAATTTTAATTCTGCAGGTGAACTATGGGAAAGTGTGTAATGACAGTAGGAAAGGACTGAAGTTCACTGTCTCCTATGGCTGCAGCTCAGAATTTGTCTTTGTTCCGTATGGTAGCACCATTGCTGTCTATGCAGTTTACTCAGGAGAGCGGCTAACTATGCTTAAAGGACATTATAAAAGTGTCGACTGCTGTGTGTTTCAGTCTGATTTCCAGGTAAGAATGATACTTAAGGGAATTTAAAAATGATTAGATGGCTGACTCGCCAGTCTAGTAGTGTATAAAACAGGAAATTGTGGTTCTATTCTCAAGTGTTACATACTTTTATTACTCTGACGCATGATAACATCAACCCACCTTTGAGCTGGTATTTATTTAATAGAGAATAGTACAGCCTAAATCTCAGAGGGGAATGTAAATGAATCAATATAATATTGTACAACTGATCAGTATTTAATTGTCTTTCCTTTAGAATATGAGCTCCATTTATGTAATGTAATGAAATATTTTCTCATGAATGCTCTTTTAGGTAACATATATGTTATACATATGTGTTACATGCATATATGTGTTATATATGTTACAGACATATGTTATAGCTATATATATCTCCACAATATCATATACCTTGGTCAATCTATGTGTAACTATATTGAAATCTGAAATGACCAGTAAAAGTACACCTTTGAATTAATACAACTCACATAATTTCTCACATTTATTTATTTATTTATTTATTTATTTATTTATTTATTTATTTATTTATTTATTTGTGTGTGTGAGGGGGCACATGCCAGAGCATATATGTGGAAGTCAGAGGACAGGAATTGATTATCCCCTCATACTGTGTGCCTGGGGATCAAATTCAGGTCATCAGGCGAAGCAGCAGGTGAGCCATCAAGTGCCTCCTGAGCCACCTCAGCAGCTCCACAGTATTTCTTGAATATTATATTAGTGACTTTTCCTCTTAATGTGACCAAATACATGGCCAGAAGCAACTTAATGAGGGAAGGGTTTATTTGGGTTGAAGGTGAGAGGTCATGCAGTTTGTGGTGGCGAGAAGGGGCCAGGGCAGCAGGGACATGTGCACTGTCTCTGTAGCAGCGGTCAGGAAGCAAAAGGTTGGATGCTGAGACTTGGCTAGCTTTCCCCTCTGTGTCCAGCCTGGAACGCCAGCCTGCTGGACTATACCTCCCACAGTCATGGTGGGGCTTCAACAAGTAAACTCTTCTGGAAACACCCTTACTGATACAACCTGAGGTGTTTTTGTGTGATTCTAAATGCAGTCAAGTTTGCATTGAAGATTGTCATAATAGCTATGAATTTTTTTAACATCCTTACTTTTCTCTTTCATGTTAACTATGAGTCAGGCTATTTTTTGTGTGTGTGTGTGTGACTGGTATATGTCCACTTGTGGGTACTTATGCCATGCCTGTATAAGCATGCATAGACGCCAGAGTTTGTCATCAGGCACCCTGCTTTATCACTCTTTGCTTTGGTTTATTAGACAGGATCTCTCACCAAACCTGAAGCTATTCTGACAGCCGGCTATCCTTAGCAATCTTCTGTCTGATCCCTAATATGCAGGTTACCAGTGTGTCACCACACTCAGCTCTTTTACATGGGTTTTGGAGACTTGACTGAACTCAGTTCCTCGTGATTATTTATAGCAATCGGCTTATTTATCTCCCCAGCCTCAGCCTGGTGTGTGTGTGTGTGTGTGTGTGTGTGTGTGTGTGTGTGTGTGTGTGTGTGTGT